GTATATAATCCAAACTAATACAATAATTTTTTTGTTTTACTCACTCTATTCCCTTTTAAATAGTCACTTAAGTGTTTGCACAAGGATTAAGAAAACTATTGGGGTTGTTTCGGCTTTAACAAATAACTATTAACTATTGGTTCTAATTAAATAAATTAAATATGTTAATTTATAAATAATAATAATTATTAATAATTAAAAATCAACTATCAATTATATCGAATTAACTAATTTAAACGACACCTATTTATTAGTCTAGATGGTAGGAATAGCTAAGCGTAAAGCACCTAATTACCATTTCTCATTTAAAGTAATGAGAATTTTGCATTTAATGGTATTAGTTGACTTTTTAAAGATAACATTGTCACAAAAATAATAATAATAAATGTTACATTGATTTTACACAACTGCAACTAACAGTGAAAATGATATAATTAATCAATTATAATTTTATGTGACATTATAAATTTATTATCGGTATTTATTATAATATAATTATTTTTTATTTAAAAATTTATCTATAATATTATATATATTCACTTATTTTATGATATATCATTACAAAAAATTTAAAATTATACGTGACATTATAATTACAATATTATAGATTAAAAAATGAATTTCTTAAAATGAACCATTAAAAAGAATAGATAGAGTATTTATAACTAAGTCAACCTAATTTATTTTAAAGAAAAATAATTGAAGAATAATTTTTTTATATAAAAGTTTCATATAACTTTTCATACAATTTAATAACTTATATTTTTTTTTTAATGAAACATATAATATTATACATATTAATTTATTTAATAACATATAAAAATTATATATATAAAAAAAAAATTTAAGTATATCATTACCCTTTTCTCAGTAAGCAAGTTTGAAAAAATTAGCTACTCTACATAAGGATGAAGGAAATTTTATCAAATGGATGCCTGACATAACAACCTTCCTTTTGGTCCATTGCTTGTCGGCCTACTCGGCTACTCCGCTTGCTTCTATGTCACGGGAAGCCGGTTAGCCGTCGTTTTCGTGAAAATACAAGACAGTAAAAAAGTCAACTGCATTCTACACATGCAAGATGCAACTACCGAATTGTACTGCCTCAAAAATCAATTTAATATTTTAATTGTTACATTTTTTTTTCTTAATATGATTATGAAAAAAATTATAAAAACATATTTATATGTTGGTATGAAGTAATTATTAGTAAGTTTTAATTGGAAAGTTTTAATAGGAACAAAATTTAGAAAATGAAATTGATAAAGAAATTTTGATACTTTGTTTAGAATATACAATTAATAAGTAAATTAAATCGTCATATATATAATGTAACAAATAAATTGATACTAAAAAAGTATTCACCTTTTTTATTTTGAATAAGTTATAATTTTTTAAAAAAATTAAAAAATATATTTTATGATAAAATCTATAATTATTAGACCATAAAATTTAAATGTATTATGTTTAATTATTGCCAAAGTTGATTTTTAATTTTTTTAAAAATAAATTCATAAAAAGCAAATTAAAATTATTACCGTAACAAAAAATACATTTATACGTAATATAACGTCAGTGAAAACCAAAACCAAAGTTGATTTTTAATACTTACGACTTTGATGTTCATCGAATGAAATCAATGAAAAGACCTTTCTTTTTTCGTCAACAATGAACCGACTTTAGTTATTACGTAGACTGTAATTGTGCCTACATAAATATGATTTAGTTTGACTGATATATTTCTTCACATATTTTAAATAGATTTAATTTTTTTATTTTTAAATATAAATTTTAAATAAAAATATAATATATTATAAATAATAATTAAAAAAATGTTAATTGAGTAACAATATTCAATAAAAATTACATATAAAAAAATTTTAGTTGTTATTTATATAAATTGTTAAATTTTTATTTAAAATTATGTTTTAAAAAAAGAAAAAAATTAAATTAAATTAATTAAAATTAAATAAAAAAATATTTTTAATTTTTAATTTTTAAAATAATTAATTATAATATTTAAATATCTTATTATAAATTTAATTTAATTTAATTAATTAAAAATATTAATTATTTTTATTAACTATTAACTAATAAAAATTAAATTAAATTAAATTAACTGTATTCGCTTAGTATGACGTTAATATTATGGCACTTAGCCATTGCCGCAGCCTATTACGTATTTACATCAAAATTAGTACAATAATTTTTTTTAAAATTTCTTTAAAAAATTATTACAACGATTAGCATGGAAAACAAGCTTGAACCAAAGACACAACAATTTTCACATCAGACGACACATGGCAATTTTCACATGGTTAAGCTGCATATGGTTATAGTCCCATAAATTATTTGTTAAAATTGTATAAAATATTATAATTATATTTAATGTATTAAATTTTATTAAATAATAATTTATTAAAGTATTTAAAAATATTCATTTATAAATTAATTTAAATTATTAAATTATAGATATTAAATTATTATTTATTATATATTAATTAATAATTATAATTATTAATTAATTTAACAATTAAATTAAATACAATTTATTACTGATGTGTGGCTTTAGCGCATGCTTCTGTGGCCATAAGCAAGGGTGTTAAGGAGTTAGTGAGATTTTTGTTTCGTAACCTTTTGAGGCCTAGGCCCAAACCCGGCCTCTTTAGTTCTATCTTGTTATAAAGATATGAGAAGGCTGAAAAAAATTTAGTGAACGCTATCTATTAACTTCATTGAATTCTTAGCAGATTAATTTTTTTTACGTAAAAATGTTATGTTACTTTAAATTATTTAAATATTTTTAATGAATTTTTTTGTATGTTAATTGATTAGAAATATTTTAATCATTTTATTATCATTTTTAATATTTTAATTACCAAAACATTTTAATTTTCTTCAATCCTATTAATTAAAATAAGGATGTTTATTTGATAATAAATAAAAAATAGTTAAAATTGAAGAAGATGATTAAATTTATTTCAAAATTTTAATTAACAAAATTTTATTGCAAAATACATAAAACTGGACATCAGTAAATATATATTGTAAAATATAGTTAATTGACTGAATGGTTATAGATATGGGAAAATTTTTTGTCAACCGGATGTATAAAAATACATTATTTCAATAAATTATTATTAAAAATATTAAAATATTTTAATTTTTTCTTATAATCATTTATTAAATAACATGATTTGAAATGTTTTCTTACTTTATTTATTTATTTTTTTGAACATATTTACAAGAGGCATATCAAATCCAAACGCAAAAGAGAAAGGGAAATGCACCTTTTTCAATAAAAATAATGTTACTAGGTCTGAAGAGTCATATGTTATTTTTTAAGATTAAATTAATAAATATTAATTTTTATAAATATTATATTAACTTAAAAATTAATATATATGATTTATATAAATAAAATATTTAATTTTACAGTAAATTTTCAAAACATTAACTCAAAGGAAATGTTTTCAAAATTGAAGCTCCAAATTTTGTTGGGAGTGAAGACCAACCTGTACCATGCTCAAATTTTATTGGAATGAATTTAAAAAAAAAAAATAAAAAAAAAATAAGGGGAAAAACAATGACTAGCAGCTGGGAATCTGCATGTTTCAGTTGTTGGGGGTTGAAGAGTGGAAAGTGGCTAGGAGTTAGAAGTGCCGATACAGCAGCCACACTTTTGCCACTTCACTACAGTTCTGCTTGAGTCTGTCACAGACCAATAAAAGCATGACATGACATTCTGCAGCCATAAACGAATCACATTTCAGCGAATTTAACGGTTTGACTTTGACCGCATTGACTTGCCGTTAGTCATGCGTCCGTACGTGATTCTGATCCCACTTTCATGGTCTCATTTGGTTAAGTGAAGCAAATTAGTTGGG